AGAAATTAGATTTCTACGCTAGATTTTTAATTCACCATCCGAAGTGACAAACTAGACCGTATTTTAATGTTAAACAAAATTATTCAACATCTGTTCTAACATGAATGAGCGAGAGAAGTTGTATTAATCTCAGCGTAAAAATACTAAGTTTGTCAATTTCCTCTGCATCTTCATTCTTCTTTTGTAGATTTTCCATCTTGAATACTTCCTTTACCTTAACTATTACCATTTTCAACATTAAATTTCGTGTCATTCAGTTTTCTATTGTCAACTGTGAATCACTAAAATATTTCTAAAGAAATCAAGCAGAGTAGGATTTAAATATGTTCATGAAACTTAAACTCTGCCTAACAAACAATAAATCTGATTAATTTAGATGAAAATATTTTAAATAGTTATTTTCTCTGAATTCAATTACCTTTAGCATTACTGCAAAATCGTTCTCTTTACACTCTTGCGTATACGCATACTATGAAAGTATCTAAAAACAAACTATTGGTTTGGTGTCATTTGCTCAAGTTCGGACAGGTAAATAGGTTGTTTTTTTATGAAATCATACCTACTAGTTCAACAGATGGCAGCACTTACATGAAAACTGGAAATGTGCTTGAATTTGCATGTGGAGATCAGAGAGTTTCTAAGACTTTTCATAAAACATCACAGTTGTTCATAATGTGTACTATGGCAAACATGGTTACTTTTCAACAAAACATAATTCCTTTTTTAAGATCGCTGTGAGCAGCAACTTCCTGAGAATATATAACATTATCCACATTTTGGACTTTATGCTCAAGCCTTCTTTTGTCAAGAATGTCTTAGACGAATATTGACTAATGTGATGGTTTAGAAGACTGGCCACTTAAAACTCGGGACAAATAATTAGGATCTACATTTACAGTCACCAAAATTGCGTTGGTCTAACAATGTGTTGAAAGTAATTGAAAGGAAACTGACCTCCTTAAAGCTATAATCTACAGTCACAGCCTCTTTCCTTTTTGCTTTTCTTAATAATCATTTCACCAATCAGATGGACACTTTTCATTATAACACACTTTAGCCATGGAGTATTACTCAAAATTAATCATCCTATTAACCATAAAATACAGAAGTATGTCATCTATAAAAGTCATTCCTTATTAACGACAAACATTACTTTTATGAAACATCCAATCAAATAATCTCAGGATTAAACCTTCTGAATATTCCGTATTTCTAAGTCATCTCTATTTTCTGAGTAATCCATCCCACAGAAAACTACACTAATCCAAAATTAGTTTATAATATCAAGAAAGGACAAATCATATAAACTGTTTCGAACAGTACAGATAAATTATTGCAGGATAAAGTAGAGTATATTATCACTATTGAACACTAAAAGTACCTTTGTCTTGGCTGCGCTCTAACACTGATCAATCTTCAATACAAAGCCACTTCTTGTTTAACATACTGTCACAATCAATGTTTTCATGTAATATATTGTTTATATTCTGCTTGTTTCTTATTGATCATCCACACAAAAATTCCCTCTAGTCTTTCACTGTCTTTGGTTATTGATAACCTCTTGCTTGACAAGTCAGCTTTGAACCTAATTTATCTTTCTCAGACGTGGATTTTTTTATTTCCTGCTAAGATGATATCGCTAAATTGAAGTGATCTTTTTGAGCAGTCTGTCTCCAAGACTTTAACCCTTATCTGATCATTTGAAACATATTTAATACTTCTCAATAGCTGCTCTTACTGGTCTTGCCTGTGACTATTGGGATATTTACACCCCTTCTCCAGATGATTCTGAGATTTAAAGAATTTCAAAAATCATACTAATCTCTCAGGTTCCTTACGTGGGATACAATTATTATAAAAAACAACTCTGTGACTGTGTACTTTTTAATAAAACGTGGGAAATGTCACATAGTTATTTATTTAATATTGAATAACTAAAAACTTTTTAAACCTTTTTTGTTTCGAAACAGCTCATAAAATTCACCTTGAATCTAAAAACGTAAGATAAAATCTTCCCACAATAAGAATTGAACGATGGTTACGTTCGCTATAATTTCACCATCATATCGATTACTTCATACGATTCGTCGTAAATCACGATCGTAACTCCTTTATTAAAACTAAAACCGATATTTAAATTTTAGGACCATTATCTGTACGCAATCTCGAAGAACAAATCATATATAGTAAATCCTAGGTAATCCTGTCAAAAACATCCAAATAGTTAGTTGAATAGTGTTCCCACGAATAGGTACACACCTGCCTTTCTAACATTTTCTGAAAAGAGAACCCAGGTTTGAATTCCGGCTTTTAACTAATTTCAATGGTGATTGTACAGACTACTAACCAAGGTAACAGACAAACAAACTTTTAACTAATTACAGTGATGATTGTACAGACTACTAACCAAGGTAACAGACAAGCAAACATTTAACTAATTACACTGATGGTTGTACAGACTACCAACCAAGGTAACAGACAAGCAAACACTTAACTAAATACACTGATGATTGTACAGACTACTAACCAAGGTAACAGTCAAGCAAACTTTTAACTAATTACACTGATGATTGTACAGACTACTAACCAAGGTAACAGACAAGCAAACGTTTAACTAATTACACTGATGATTGTACAGACTACTAACCAAGGTAACAGACAAGCAAACACTTAACTAAATACACTGATGATTGTACAGACTACTAATCAAGGTAACAGACAAGCAAACGTTTAACTAATTACACTGATGGTTGTACAGACCACTAACCAAGGTAACAGACAAGCAAACGTTTAACTAATTACACTGATGGTTGTACAGACTACTAACCAAGGTAACAGACAAGCAAACGTTTAACTAATTACACCGGTGATTGTACAGACTACTAACCAAGGTAACAGACAAGCAAACATTTAACTAATTACACTGATGGTTGTACAGACTACTAACCAAGGTAACAGACAAGCAAACGTTTAACTAATTACATTGATGGTTGTATAGACTACTTACCAAGGTAACAGACAAGCAAACTTTTAACTAATTACACTGATGATTGTACAGACTACTAACCAAGGTAACAGACAAGCAAACGTTTAACTAATTACACTGATGGTTATACAGACCACTAACCAAGGTAACAGATTTTAACCACACCAACTAAAATGCTCACACTTCCTTCACTTATGACGAATCCTATAACAATCTGAGTGGCGATGGTAAATATGTATATGAGTCCTCAGATTTTTCATCTAAATCATCCTATACTTCACTGCAATGTCATTATCACAGCTACATTTCATATTTTTATTGTTAAAAGGACAGTTTCCCTGACTCCATACCTATCACGAAATATTCACTCTCACTTCCTATTGTCTACACTTCCTTCTGTATATTTTGAACTTCTGGTAATTTCGTATAGAGTGAACGAAGATAACTTTATGACGCCTTGATTATAGATTCAAATATCTACCATGCTTTATTATACATATTATTATCATCATACGTCCCAGCAAACTAGAATAACATATTGACACCGAGATTCAACATTGACAGTGACAAAACTTCTGGGGGACTTCCTGCCCGTGAACGAAGTTTCTTTATATAACGTCCTGTTTTCATACTGTAATATATAGTTGTTATTGTCTTCATGCATAGAGTACTTATTGAATATATGCCCGAATAATAACATAGAAGGTGGTATATAATCGGACAATCATGCACGACGTGTTATTCTGGTTTGTATATGTTGTTTTGAGCATTTGTTCGTCAAAACATACACACACACCTGAGTGTAAAAAGGGTGTGCTTTTGGTATCAAATTTTTCTAAATAGATCAATGTCAAATTATTCGACTGTCCAGAAATGGTATGAAGCAAATGGACATTGTCAGAATAGTAGGGTACCCCAGTGTATTGTATCCAGAATTCTGAAACGTCATCAGACTACAGGAAATGTTGTTCCATGAAAGTCTACCAGGAGAACGTTACAAGATTGACATGGCCAGCAAAGTCTGCAGATTGTAATCCCATTGAGAACTCTTGGGCAGAAATGAGCCGGAAAATTGCTAACCACGACCATAAACCAGCTACTGTAGCTAACTGCAGCGCCTTCTACTGACAAGCTGGGATGACATTATGATGGATTACATCAATAACCTCATCCACAGCATGCCACGTCGCCTTGCGAATGTTATTAGAGTGCGAGAAGGACTGAATGTTTAATATGAACAGTTTAATATGGTTACAGACGCTAGTTATAATAATTTGATGTGATATTTTGTCACTATATATGTTTTGGTAAGGTTTTATTGTGATAGGTGAAATGCTGAATTACACTTCTTTCTACAAATGTGTTCATGATGTCCATAGAATCTGTCGTATTATACAAATTACATATGTAGATGTTTAATATAGCATGCATTTCTCAGTTTGACAGCACTAAGCGTATTTGTATTCTATTTTGAAAATAATGATATTTTTGTTACAAAATATGCAAACATTTTGGCCAAGACTGTACTTAGCTGCCTACAGTTCCTTTGAAACAAAATGTTTTCATTATATGAAATTTAAAACGCTTGAAACATTCTCTTTAATTGTGAACTGGTAAACACTATAGCTAGCAAGCCAGTATAATTATTGTCTACAAAAGTCTGAGCATGTGGTCATGTTAAATAATATAAGAGGCTTTAATCACAAAAGTTAAATTGAAACAGGTATCTTTTGTTTCCTAATTTATGATACTGGTTTCTGCATTACATTAGCGTTATAATGAATGGATAGTGCAATAAAGTGACGACAACGTATTAAGAACCGTTTTAAATATTTGGTGATCTTTAATCAGTTGGCAGTAAGAAATCTCATTATAGTGAAGTAAGATAGACCTGTCATTTGCTGCTCTACCTCTGGTATATACTTAATTCCATTCTGAACAGTTCTTGGGCGTCTTATAATAATTTCCTTCAATTGAGGATGGTACTATTGAACAAGCTGACGTTTCTTTGCAGGTGAACGTGGATTGGGAGCTTAGTGAAACCCTCTGTGACTTTTATATCGCAGTTGATGTGACGTGCAGCACTGCCTCTATCTTTAATTTGGTAGCTATCAGTATAGACAGGTAAAAAAACAACTGTATTTCATAGTTGTTCTTAGGCAGTACACATATAGCTTAACATTTACAATTTTATAAAGTTAGAATATTATACAACTTTTTTTATTAGTTTATTTTACACCTATATATATTATATGCCTAAGGTTTTTAAAGATAAGAAGTGCTCTCGTATTCAAATTATATTTCGAATATACCAGTATAGAAACAACAACAGTTTAAAATTGCGTTTCGGTCTCCAAAATGTAAGGAAAAACTATTTTTAATTGTTGATGGTTTTAAACTGATGAATTGTTCGTATAAAGTGTAACTATTATAATATTATTAAGTTCATCGGTGTTTTTATTTATATATATATTACATCCTGGTCTTTGTAGTATTAATATTAGGTAGTCAAGAAATTAATATCGCGTTTTGGAACACTTTCATAAACCAGCCCCAAGAAACGTACATCACATATGATAGTTAAACGAACCGCCTTAACGTCACGTTATTGTTTGTTTTGTTTTTGTTTGTTTGTTTTTAATTATGCACAAAGCTACACAAGGGCTATCTGTGCTCTGCCCACCACGGGTATCGAAACCCAGTTTCTAGCGTTGTAAGTCCGCAGACATACCGCTGTGCCACTGGGGGCCACGTTATTGTAGGCTATATAATGTGTAAAATTTAGTACACTCTAGTCCCTTATAGTGATAGCACACGACGAGGCATACATTCGGCATG